GTCAGGTCCTGCGAAAGATGAATGGATGAAAGCTATGGAAGAAGAAATGGACTCAATGAACAAGAACCAAGTTTGGGTGTTAGTTGATCTTCCAAAAGGGCGTAAAGCCATTGGAAACAAGTGGGTTCTCAAAATTAAAAGAAAAGTGGATGGATCAATTGACAAATACAAGGCTCGATTAGTGGCAAAGGGGTACACGCAACAGGAAGGAATAGATTACGAAGATACGTTCTCACCTGTTGTGCGTTTCAATTCTATTAGACTTATTTTGGCAATAGTAAACAGTTTAGATCTAGAATTACATCAGATGGATGTAAAAACCGCATTTCTGAATGGTGATCTGGATGAAGAAATCTATATGGAACAACCATTAGGTTTCACTGAAAAAGGAAAAGAAAATAAAGTTTGTAAACTCAAAAGGTCCATTTATGGATTGAAGCAATCATCCAGACAGTGGTATTTGAGGTTTCACAAAGCGATAACCTCATATGACTTCCAAATGATAGAGGAAGACCACTGCGTCTACATTAAGCGGTTTGAGGGTAATTTTGTCATATTATCCTTATATGTAGACGATATACTATTAGCCGGAAATAGTCTAGATTCGGTGGTGGCTATTAAAGAATGGCTTTCATCAAATTTTGAAATGAAAGACATGGGTGAAGCAGAGTACATACTTGGAGTTAAGATCCAAAGAAATCGTTCAAAACGAATCCTCTCTCTTTCACAAGAGAATTATATCAACAAGATTCTTGAGCGATTTAACATGAAAGACTGCAATCCCATGAGTACACCCGTTGCCACTGGAGTGGCTTTGAGTTCTGACATGTGTCCCAAAACTGAATCTGATAAAAAGAAGATGGAAAGAGTTCCATATGCCAATGCTGTTGGTAGTCTGATGTACGCAATTATGTGTACAAGACCAGACATCTGTTATGCAGTGGGACTGATGAGCAGATTCCAGTCTAACCCCGGTGAAAAGCATTGGAAAGCAGTGAAGAGGATCTTGAGGTACTTAAAGGGAACTTCCAATTATGCACTGTGCTACGAAGGAGGTGACCTGCGTCTTGTTGGATACTCTGATGCTGATGTAGGCGGAGATGAAGAAGAACGAAGGTCAACTTCAGGTTATACCTTCTTACTTAACAATGGCGCCATATGTTGGAGTAGCAAGAAGCAAACGTGCATTGCCTTACATTCGATGGAAGCTGAGTTTGTGGCTTGCACTGCAGCAGTGCAAGAGGCTTTATGGCTGAAGAGATTTATAGAACACCTTGGATTTGGAAACGAGAGTACCAGTCCAGTGATGGTATACTGTGACAATACTGCAGCCATAGCCTATACTAAAGATCCTAAATATCACAGCAAAACCAAGCATATTGACATCAAGTATAATTTTGTTAGAGATTACATAGCACAAAAGATTGTTACTGTACAATATATTTCAACCAAATGTATGGTAGCAGATCCTCTGACAAAGCCAATAGGCGAAAAAGTTTTTAAAGAACATGTACAAGCCCTTGGCATACGTAAAGTGTAATATGAACGCTTCATTAATGAAATTGTATTTCGTTATCACTTTATGTGTTTGTCCGAAAGTATACAATGTCTAGTATGTCGTACAGGTTAAAAAGGTTGACTCTCTCACACGGGCAACCGCCTTTGACACTCATGTGGAGTGAACAAAGATGAGACATTTGTGTTCACCAGTAAAGCAGCAATGAATGCTGATATGGTAGAGAAGAAACACAAAGTTTATGTCGCCTTGACTAAAGTGTAGCAAGTCAAGATGGGATCCACGTTGATAAAGATGGATCGAAGTTTGGAATCCCACTTCCATAATACCTGTAGCCAGACAACAAACTCTTCAACGTCGACGTCATAACAATGAGCAGAATTGAAGAATTTGAGTTTAGATATTGAGTGTGTCTGGACCTAAGTCTGTACGGTGTTAATAATAAATCTAAATCGACATACGCTCTTATAGTAAAAGGGTAACACCGTAGCATGTGTTTCATACCACATGTGCTGAAAGAACCGCAAAAGGGAAGCAAGTGAAAGATCCCTGCTTCATTGCTGTGTGAGTCTCAGGGAGGAATTATCCTCCTATTGGTGTCCTTTGACTTTGACAATATCATGAAGATATGTTTCAGTGACTGCTACTTTGGCATATGTCCTATGGTCATGATTGATGCGATCTAAGGTAGTATGCTAAGAAAGCGACTGATTCATTTCAAAGTGATGTTTGGGCGAAAGGAAGATTGACTGTGATATACACACCTATGCTAGTGTCTGTGACATGTCCCTTATGAAATTTTGTGGTCGTAAGTGTGGATACTAGACATAAGAGAAAGGTAATCTGAGTCAACTTTTGACTCGAGAGGGATTAGATTTACCATGAAAAAGTGTATATAAGTAAATCTAGGACATCTGAGGCATAATTTTAAAATTCGCGCTACACGAAAGGAGAAGGTAACTTGTGCTGGTCCTATAAAAGGATTTCTAGTACAGGCACCTAAATGAAGACGTCATGCCCACGCGGTCACGGCAAAGCACTGAGTATGAAACTAAGGGGAGGCGAAGAGATGAGACCCTTGACATCTAATCCACCAAGTGTGAGTGGGAGATGTAGGAAAATGGGCCAGTCCACCCTTGGTGGATTGAGCCCAAGCCCATTAAATTTGGGGCTCTAATGCAAATAACATAACCTGTGGGTCTTAAATGGTTATTTGCAATTTTTCCTTCAAAATATGGATAAGGACAGACGGGGCGGTAGTTTTATTTTCAGAGATAGGATCAGTTTAAAATAAACTGATTCATTCAACCGGCATTATTCTTCCCGCCTGCATCTCTCCTCTTCTCCTCCAACACAAAAGTGCATTTGCTGTGAACGTTGATTCCCATTCCATTGCTGTGATCGGAATTCCGCGCGTGGCTACCTAATCTGAGATTACTCGACACTTCAGGTATGCCCGAATATCATTATCCCTGCTCAGTAACAAAAGTAAAAGAAATAGAAATGTTTTCCTTCCAAAAAATTATCTTCTTATCAAAGTGGTATTAGAACCAGGTTTCTGAAGTAGCCTAATTCAGATTCAATGAGATATAAGGATGAAGTAGCCTAGACCTTGGCGGGCTGGCAGAGCGGGTCGGGGGCTAGCCCATAAGCTTTTTTTTGAGGGATCATCTGAGTTTAAATTGATTAGACCGCCAATTAATTTGAAGTCTAATATAGATATAACTATCAACAAAACATAATGTAATCTCAGTTTAAATCGAAGTCAAGATCCAACCAGGCTAAGACTCGGTTTCTCACACTCTCTCCTTCGCCTATCATCATATGATCATCAATGTCAACTAGTTGTCCAGCCTGTCATTGAAGGCGAACACGACAAACCTTCGTCCGACGGCAACATTCCTAGGCCACAGTCTATCTAAATTCCAGCATCTTTCCCCAATATAGAAAGAGTTGGCACACCTAATCAGCTCCATTTTGAATCTGTGGCCACTAAGGCTAAAGATGGTCACCATCATGCCGTCTCCACCCACAGCTACAGCTCAACGTTAGTAAGCAGGGGTGTAAGTGTTGCTAGCAAAGCCTTCGTCAGGTTGATGAGGTGGTTGTGATTTCTGAGTGCATATCATTTGCGAACAATGAGTGTGTGAAAATCAAATGAGTGTTTGCTAACAATGTTAGTTAAAAGTTTATTGAATGGATTTTTGTTTTCCTTTGTTCTTGAGAAACACTCATCTGATTTGCACACATTCATTGTTAGCAAACGATACACACTTAAGTGATCAGAATTCTCTTCTTATCAAAGTGGTATCAAAGCCAGGTTCCTGATTGTGAAGTGTCACTAGCTAAGGATAAAGTAGCCTGATATAGATTCAATGAGATATAAGGATGAAATAGTCTACACCTTAGCCGTCTAGCAGGGAGGTCGACGGAACCAGTTTCGGTGCTCATCCTTTTGATAAGTACTATAAACTCATTAGATCTGAATCATTCATATCTCATTTAAATGGTCCAGATTTGATTTCTCTTTTATTTTTATTTATTCAAAATAATTATTTTAATATTTATAGAATCTAAAATATTGATGATCTCTTGATTATCATTTTTCAAAAAATATTTTTTTATTTAAAAATAATTAATTAGAGATTTTAAATCTGAACCGTTCAAATCATATATAGACCATTCAGATCTAATGAGCTTATGGTGCTTATCAAAATGATAAGCACCGAAACTGGTTCTGGAGGTCGACAAGCTAACCCATACGCTGTTGTTTGAAGGATGAGCATTCCCTACTCATCGATCCAATGAGCAGGGAATGTGGATTCATAAATCAGAGGGCACGCGAAATAGACTCATATCTTCTTAATTAATGATGGAGTATCACTAGGTAATGGTAAGGTTCCACGAGATGCTACACGAGCCCAACTCCATGCTTTGCTCCATGCAATGCGCTTTTTCTTTGTGTTGGATCCTTTTAACCCATAAGATTTTTAAATAAAAACTTTTTACTCATTTTTTCAATAAAATATAGTGTTATCTTTTAAACGTAGATAACAAATCATAAAATATAAAATTATTGTTGAGATTGTAAATTGCACAATAAAATAATATGAAAGAAAATAAGGTATCATTTCTATTTTCAATATTCATATAATTTGAAATTCCAAAATAAAACAATTTATTTTCTATATTTAGATAAGCATGGATTAAAAGAATTATAAAACACAGCACATTTTTGTTTTTCTTTAAATATGTATGCGTAAGAAATTTTAGTATAAAAGATGTTTTATCATATAAATTTTTTATATGCATAAGCTATCAAATTATAAATACAACAGATTATTATATAAATTTTATTATATCATTTTAACATTAACTTTTTTTTTCCCCATTTATGCACTTTGTACACTAGTTTTAGTATTATTTAGTGAGCTCATGACAAAATCTAACAAAACTTCACCTAAATGTCAATCAATGCCAAAGAGAACCCTAAAATCAAGACTAACATAATTCTATAAAATCAGATATCGCAAATCTTAACAGAAAAAGACAGATGATATAAATTTTAAGATCTTGCTGCTTTCAAGCTCACAAGACAGCCTAACACCTACAATACTCTAGAAATTCACAATGTCTATAAAATATACAGCATTCACGTCCAATGTAAAACACCCAATTTTTATACACACAAGACAAACACTCATCTTTTAAGTTTTTCAAGAACAAAGGAAGCCAAAATCCATTCAACAAACTTTTAACTGACATTAAATTCACCACTAGCCTGTGCCTCCTTGACTCTCTTTTCATATTCATCTTCTTCCTCCACCTCCTCGACAGCAACCCTATCTTTTGTTTCTTCTTCCTCCTCTTCCTCTTCCTCTCCTCCCCAGCCAAATCCACCTACTGACCTCGAAACTTGGGCAGGAGTTTTAGCCTCCTCAACGATTTTCATGATGTCATCTACACTCTGAAGTGAAAAGGTTGGGTTTCCTTTCCTGTAGTAAACAGCTTGAGCCACTTCTGTCAGTTCCCTGGGCAAGTTCTTTAGAAACCATGGGTGGGACTTGATCTCCTTGATGGTAATTCTCTGTGATATAATAGACATATACAGTGATCACATACCATTTGCAAGATAATAATTATAGTTCATTTTTCTTACGCAGGGAGGTTGGTTTAGCAGCATTGCACCGAGAGAACTAACGTTTGAACTTAACAAAAATAAGAGCAGAAAGCTACATTTCAGTCCTTGAAAAATGCATGTTCCGTGAACTTAGCCTTTATTTTAGAAGAAAAGTATCAGCATTATACTAACTCATTTGGAAAAAAAAATAAAAATCCATCAATATTGATCCTGCTGATAATTTAAAAGACCCAACCCAACTGTATCGACGAATTTTAAAAACTTTGGAATCAAATAATTGGAATTATCTATCTACAAAGGGCTAAGTTGATGGATCACACACATCATCATTCAAGGACCCTAACACAGAAAGGGCCAAACAGAGCCCTAAGCATCTATGATTATGAACTTGTCAGAGAACAACTAGAGTGCTCCATGCTGGATATATTCCACAAATTTTATTGAAAAACAAATAATTAAAATAAAACTGAGCAGTATTAAGCCAGCATGTCATAAACATACCCTTGCTGGATTCGCCACAAAAATGCGAGATAGCAGGTGCCTACAGTCTTGAGAGATGTGAACATAGTCCGGGATCTTGTATTGAACTGACATAATTCGCTGGATAGGAACGTAGGAAGTCAGAAAGGGGAAGCATTTTATCCATTCATCAACGGATGTAGTAAAAAGAGAAGAAAAAGATTACATTTATGGTTTTCCTGAAGTTTCTCGGATCCTCTTGGTCTTCAAACGGGTAAGCTCCCACCAGCATTACATAAAGAGTTACTCCACAGGACCATACATCTGCCAACTGAATAAACATATAATGGAATGAAATAACAAAAAAGAAAACAAAACATCATCAATATCTCATAATACCATTGAAATGGATACTGTGACACACCAAATATCTAAAAAGGTCAGCTACATTTTGAAGCATCACAAAATATAAGACAACAAAAAGGCTCTTTTTGAAGTGATCATGATGCATAGAGTCAGTACGATAAAAACTCAATATGCCATAGGACTCTCAATGACAGCTGCAGAAGTTCCAAGTCATAGAAGCATCAGTTTGATATTTGACAGGTTACAGACCTCAACGCTGATTGTCAAATATAAAACTAATATGGCTCTTCCAAGTACTTAAATACAAATGAACTTTTAGACTTTACATGTCAAAAAGGTAAAAGTCAAAGTGCTTTCCGCATCTCAGGGCATTAACACAAAGGAGATTAAAAGCTACAGAAGCTCATGGCTGGCAACTAAAATGCCTTTTTTCTACAAGGAAATTTATAACAAAATTTGAGCTCTTTACCAGCTGTTTTAAGTCTAATATTTCTATATTCATAGGCTGTAAAGGACGGAAAAGAAACACAAAATAGAGATAAATAGAGACAAGCTCATGTTAAACTAGGAGAAATAAGAAACATCAAAGCCATGGTATAAGAAGGTTCCCATCTGTCAAAAATGTGAGTCGATTTTAGGAGGAAAGACTTAAGAGGAGTAGCAATTTATAGTGATTCAAATGCCACATGTGCTGCGTGCATATGTGTTTAATGAACCATCTGTCACAATCTAAAACTTCTTTTCATGGTTGAAGCTAGATTACCTTTCCATCATATTCTCTACGTGAAAGAACCTCTGGTGCAATGTAGGCTGGAGTTCCAACAGTTGATTTAGGTCTCGAATGAAGCAGAGATGACTGAGCGAAAAAAAAGCTTACAAAAAGTGTCATATATACCAACAATTAATTATTTCAAACACGAGAATTGATAATACTGATATTAATCTATATTTGAACCTTAGAGTAGCCAAAATCACAAATTTTCAGACGCGGAGCTGGGCTGCCATCCAATAAGGTGTTCTCTAGCTTTAAGTCTCGATGGCAAATTTGCTGCAGAAGGAAAATTACAAAGAAAATGACGCAGGAGAGGAGGAAAGGAAGCAGATTTATAGACACACTCTTAATGACACAATCCATTATTGGGAAAAACGTCCAGTTACCATGGAATGACAGTAGTTAACTCCTGAGATGAGCTGCTGGAAGAAGTACCTAGCCTGGAATACCGCAAGAACGACAAACAAATTAAAATTCCTTCCTGCATCAAGTTCCTCAAAAGAAGGCGAGCATAAATAGACAGCACAAAACTTTTTCCCTTTACCAATTGTCAAGAAAAAAGACAAAAAAAGAAAAGAAAAGATGTCTCCCTATGAGGTTAAGAAGCTAATGGAGCCTCGGCATTCAATTATGTTACTCAAATTACTTGAAAGCATATTTCTCTAAGAGAACTTGCTAGTATTCAGTCCTCTTAAATAACCTAAGCTAAGTTAGATGTTCAATTGATTAAATAATCTCCGTTATTTCAATGAGTGATGCAGAATGATTTCGTAAAGTGGAAAATTCTGCCAGCTCTCTAGCAAGCTGGACAGTATGACAGCTTTGGATCCAGATGAATTTAGAAAAGGATAATTAATTGAGAAGTGTTATGAGGAAAACAAACAATTCCAATTTTGTTGCTGAAAAAAAAATCCAACCCTTTTATGTTTTTGGAATTTCAGTTGAGTTGTGTCCAGGCCAGGTTAATTCTCGCAAAAGCTTGGAGTCCCCACTAGCACTAAGGAAATTAACACGGAATTTCCATGCTCCTAAGCTAGAATTCACTAGAACTAGTCACTCAGAAATTCCATGGGTTAAGGTAGAATTTACATCTATTAGAGTGCTGCTCACTGCACATCACATACTCATCCCCAGCCCTTGGAGTTGCAAAGTAGCCAACAGCTCCAACCGTGCTACCTAGCTAATGGGCAAGTAAGCATGATTTGCGGGTTTAAGTTACCCAAACACCCTCATGCTCTTATGAATCTAATGTCTGCTCATTAAACAATTGTAAAAGCTATGACTTATGACCACCTAGGCACCACAATAGACTTGTTTAAAAGCTAACTTAAAACAGTAGGAGGTAGAGACATGACCTCATCTTCACTGAATCTTCCAGCATTGCATATTCGCTCAAAGAGCTCCCCACCTGCAGCATACTCCATGACTATTGCGAGATGTGTGGGAGTCAGTACCACCTGCAAAGCTGAAAACCCATATTAGACAATAACCACTCTCAAAGCAAAATATGCTTGATTTTATAAATCATAAGCACATGGTTACAGACCTCCTTGAACCGAATAATGTTCGGATGGCGAAGAGATCTATGGTTTATAATTTCCCTGGCCACATTTGCATCGATCTGGAAAATATAGATTAGACGTCCACAATCACAGATGTGTACATATAATAGTGCACGTAGCCAAACGGGAAAAAGAAAACTATACAAACAGACAGACACACAGATAATTGTCCAGGAATTGCAAAATAATAGTCGCAGCGACGATATTTTTCACTTCTCAGCTCAAAAATGTTATACAGAGCATGAAAGAAGCTCAGAAATTGCATGCACCTTGAGACCTCGTTCAATGTACTTCATGGCAACGAGCTCCTTGGTCTCTTTGTTGCGCATAAGCCTGGCCACCCCGAAATTCCCAGATCCTATATCCTTCACCAGCTCGTACTTCTCCATCCCTTTCTTCTTCTTCCTTTCAGCCGAATCAACGCGCTGAATATGGCACCGTCAAATCCACGATATCCCCGCTTCCGTCGTGCCTTACCACTTGCCAGCAAAGATCAATCAAACCCAATAAACCAAACTAAAAATCCCAGCTTCCAAGCACCAAAACATAACCAGAAAACGAGAGGGACAGAGACATATATTAGATAGAGAGACTCAAATGGATATTCGAAATTAGCCAAGAAGGTTGTGGTTTTATGGAAGGGTGGTAGTGGGATTTGGGAGAGTTTTGAAGGGAAGAAAAGAATCGAGCAGAAAATCAACAGCGGAATATATCATAATTAGATTTTATACATAATAAATAATAAGAAGGAACAGAAGTTTGCTTTAACGCTTTGGGAGTGCAGAGAGAGATAAAGAGAGAGAGGCTGCGCCTGCGTGCAGGGAAGAGAAAACTAGAAAAGCACATATATCTCTCTCACTGTATCTTCGGGGACAGAAGTTCCAATGATGATGACTGAAGACTGATGAGAGAAATTCTCTCTCTCTCTCTCCTAATTTTTTTCCTTTTAAATAATGTGAGTGGAATCTTATCAGATGTCCAAATCGTGTGGAAATTTTTAATTTTTTTCATACGCGGAAATAATAAACTGTCTTTATTATCATAATTAATATAAATATAAGATTTAATTCATGGACTTAAATATGAGATTTCAATTTAATTTATCTCTCGAGTTTATAATTTGTTTTAAAAAATATTTATATTAATTATAAAATATTTTTACCCAAATATAATTTCAATGCATTTTATTGGATATAGATAATTTAAAAAAAATAACTCATATTTATTACAAATAACCAATTTCTTTTGATATCAAGGATTAGAGGTAGCACTCTCCTAATTCATTTTTATAAAGAAAAACTACCAAAATTACATAACTTAAAATACTAGTTAAATTTAGTTTAAAAAATAATCAATGTGCAAAATATATACATATTCTTTCAATTATCTTCTTATTTTTAAAGAGAGATAATAAGTCGTATGTATTTAATAGAAGTGAAAATAAAAAGACAAATTTAAAATTTCAGAGAAAATAGATTTGTTTCTTATACTAAGGGATATGAAAAATTGTTTATCATACGAGAGATTGGGGGGAAGTATCAATGATTAATCAGCTTCATAAGATATATAGTACTAAAATTTAATTTAATTGCAGGCTAAAACTAAACATAACTGCCTGAGTGTTAACGTGTTGAAGAGGGTAGCATGACTTACGACTCACGCTAACAAATTTTGGCCCAAAATTTACATTTACTGTTTTTGCAGCCCATTTAGTAGGTTAAATGAATTGACAAAAAAATTTATTTTTAGTCTTATTTTTAATTCTTAGTAAAATTTGATTTGGAATTTATAAAATGGAGAGAAAATAATATTGAAGTCTGAGGTTTTATGGAAAATTTGTAAAGAGCAAAAAGTTCTATTAAATCAGACTTATTTGAAACTGCTTAATATAATTACTTGTAAATATGTTTATATAAATTATGATTAAAAAAACTGTTTTGGAATGGTCATATGTGACTCATATCCTCATTCCAAACAAACACTCAAAAGGATTTTGAAGTATAGAGTCTTATGAACTGTTTTTGGATAACAATTGCTACCAAGAATTATCAAAGAAAATTACTCCTCTAGTCCTTAATATAGGATCCAATTGTTGAGTTAGTTTTGGTCCTAAATGTAAGACCCATTTCTCATATTTATCAGTTTTCTCTAAATTTCTGTTATGGATACTCCTTCAATCATAATCAAGTAGAAAAGGAAGAGAGGGTATTAAGAAAGATGATTATGGTATTTTAAGAAAAACGTGTCACATTTCTTATAATTAACTCACTTACCTAACTTTCTTAATCTAATCAAATTAATTAAATGAGTCTTATATTAAGGATCGAAGGAGTATCTCCTTAAATAGTATAGTTAAATTTGAATACATTCTAGATAAGAAAAAATTAGCATTATATACCATCAAGCTCTTTTTTTTTTTTTACCAGCACCATTAAACTCATTTAATCTGGCCAAAAAAACCCATTTAATAAACATGTATTATATGTGTGTGTCGAGAGAACCATGTCATCCATTGCAACAATATTGGTTATAATTTCCATTAAAGTTTTTAATTTTTTATATTAAAATTGTTAATAAAATATTAATACCTATAGTATAGAAAATTGACAATTTTTCCGAAGACTTTTGGAAGAAGTTTTTAATTGTTTATAAAAAAAAAAAAACAATTTGGAGAGGCGGGTGTTCCTGTGAGATCATTGGAAAAAAATAACTATTAATTAATTATGTCTGAAAAAGACTAAAAGAGACACTTGGCAGTTGATGGGAAATGGATGTGCATGCGCCGCAAAAGGATGTGGCAATTAGACAAAGGAGTATAATTTTAATATTCTCAACGCAGAGAGACCAAAAAAAAAACCTGATAAAATTTACGAAAGTTAAAATCTGTTTTTTTTAAAGAAAAATATCTAAACATTCTTACGCGTGTCAAAGCTAATTATGAGCTCACAATCAGATCCTTACATATATAAATTAATTATATTTCAAAAAAATAATGAGATGATTATAGCTTAAACATTGTTTTAAAAGCCAGATGTTACAGCTGAAAAAAATTAATGGGTCATAATTCAAACGATTATTACAGTTCGGTCGTGCGGTTCAATAGGTAACATGATAACTAAATAAAAATGATATTACACACATGTATAATAACATAAATACTCCTCCGGTCCTTAATATAGGACCCAATTATTGAGTTGGTTTTGGTCCTAAATATAAGACCCATTTCTCATATTTATTAATTTTCTCTAGATTACCCCTATAGATAGTCCCTCAACTACAATCAAGTAAAAGAAGGAAAGGAGGTATTAAGAAAGATGATTATGGTGTTTTAGGAAAGATGTGTCACATTTTTTATAATTAACTAACTTACCTAACTTCCTTAATCTAATCAAATTAGTTAAATGGGTCTTATATTAAGGATCAGAGGAGTATAACAAATAGAAGAAACCGAATAGCTGGTCTTAAAAAAAAGGAAGAAACAGAATAAAATAATATTAACATAGAAAGAATATAAACACAATCTAGAAATAAAAAATGTAAAAAAAAATGCTTTATAATGTAAATTTCAAATTTATAAATATTATACACATAATGAAAGATTATACTCCTCCGATCTTTAATATATAACCTAATTGTTAAGATAATTTTGATCTTAAATATAAGACCTATTTCTTATATTTATCAATTTTTCCTAAATTATCCTAATGGATACTCCTTCAACTATAATCAAATAGAAAAGGGAATGAGAAAATTAAAGAAGATGATTATAGTATTTTCAGAAAAACATGTCATATTTCTTATAATTAACTAACTTACCTAACTTATTTAATCTAATCAAATTAGTTAAATAGGTTTTATATTGCGGGTTTTTGGTCACCATCAAAAGTGCTTATGAGAAGAAGCACTTTTTCACAAATTGAGATAAATTTATTCATATATTTACATCGTATACTATAAAAACACTTTTAAAATGAAAGTAAGACGTTGCATGAAATTTTGCAGCGAGAGCATTAGTCAAATGTAACTTGCTATAATTTCAGGACTTAGGAACAGTTGAAATTGAATTAGGGTAATCTCTTCTGGTTAAGATTCACCCTTTTCTTGGATTGAGAGAAAATTAAAGAGGAGAGAAAACCAGAGAAGAAAACATGAGAAGAAATAAGTTTTCTTTTACTTGGATAGGAGAAAAAATATGGGAGGAAGGAAAAATGGAAGAAGAAAATAAAACAAGTCCCATATCTCATTTTCTCTTCAAATTTTCTCTTCATACATGGAGAGATTTGGGAAGGAAAACAAGATTTTTATGACTACCCCTCCTCTCTCCTCCTTTTCATATTTATTTTCTTTTATTATATTTAAATCATTCACTTTTTATTTTTTTTTATCTTAAAACAATATTTTTATTAAATAATTTGGTTTTAAAATATAATAATCTGAAAATATATAAACTCAATAACTTAATTTTAAATTATTTGATTATGCTGATGTTAATATAATTTTTCTATTGTAATATTTAATTTAATTTAATTTTAAATATGATATATTTTGATAAAGATATTTTAATTATTTAGATATTTAGTAATTTTCTTTTTTTTTGTATTTTCTCTCATCTATCCAAGCAAAAAGATAATAACATCTTCTAGTTTTCCCTTTTTTCTATTTTCTCTCATCCCATTTTCTTTCCTCTCAACTTTTCTTTTCACCCAAGCAGAACATCAATAAACAATACTAACTCGAGATTTTTTTTAAAGTCATAATTTATTTTTTAAAAAGTATATATTTTATAAATATGATTAAAATATCAAGCAAAAATTATGTATAATTAAAATTTTTAATCAAAACATGCCATAGAATTTTTAATAATATAATAAATATATGATTCTTACATATAATTGTATCGTTCCTTAGATAGATTAATATATATGATTGTTAAATTTGTTTGACAAATTATATTCAATCTGAAAGTATTGTGGTTAGTCACTGAATTAATCTGTATTTAGTCACCGAATTAACTCCTTAACTGCCGGCCAATGGTCTAATCGGTCCGGCTCTTCAAAGACTGATTCTAAATTACGGAACATCCAGGACAAAATCAATTATGAACTCACATTCTTATCTCATTTTTACCGCCAACATACATATATTATCTTATTTATAAGATACTTTCAATATATTTCATATAAATTAAGAAAAAACTTAAATTGTATTAATTTTTCATTAAAATATAGCAACTTTCTAATTTTATCCCTATTTAATATATACTCGTTTCAAAAAAAGATAACTATATATATTATAATAAATGAAGGACAATATAATATATTCATGATGAAAATTTAATAAAATAACTTATAAACAAGAAGAAGAAAAAATTTCTTTCTCGTATAAATAGGACCATGGGAGTAAAAATTACAAGGTCCGCACTAGCATGGCTTGATTCAATTCAGCAAACTTACTCAAAATGTAGTCCTTTTTTATTGCTTATTTTATTTTTATAATTCCCAAAAAGTTTAACTATTTTTCAATAAAAACTATTTTTCATGTTAAAATAGAACTTACTTGTACTTTATTCAATAAATTATTTCCCTAATTATAAAGAAAATACGACGGTAAATTTTGTAAGTCAGCTAAAAGTCTCCATTACCTTACCAAAATTTTTTTAATTATCCCTTTCAATTTACCTTTGTGTTTACGAGGCTAAGTATCAAAACCAAAGTTTTAATAAAAATATGACTCGTCACATAGCTTGTAAAAAGGCACCACCAATAATATTTTGTCATCCTTTTTATGAAGAAAGGATGTCACACACACATCATATTTATAAAAGATTAAACACGCTTTATCAAA